TTTTTATAGTTTGATTTCTAGTTAAAAAAAAAAAAAAGCTTAAATATACTTTTCCGTGTGAAATAATTTTTTTTTTTTGTCCTTCTATCCAAATGGCGTAAGAGAGACTTTTGCTTTGTGTAGCTAGCCCACTGCTCTGGAATATCTTACTCTCCTGTTTTATTTTTCAGAGTACATGGCTTTAATAAGAAAATTTATGTATTTTTCCCCATTAAACTCACCTTTGTCTTCTTGATTAGAATGCTACTTCCACAAGGATAAGGACTATATTTTATGCTCTTTGGGTAACTTCCATACCACTTAGCCAGTGAAGAACTCAATGACTTGTTCAAATACGTGAGGATGGTCTCATTAGGCTACTATGGAGCCCAGACACTCCTGTTGCCTAGTGACAGCGTATCTGTCCTAATGCCGTCTAAGGCGTTACTCACATACAGGACCCACAGCTGTGTGCAGCACACAGTACTTGCTAATGGTGATGCTGTGCTTTCTGTTATTGCCGTAGATGGTATTGCTTCTACTTTTAAAAACAGTTACTGTAAGACAGGATGCCGTGTTCTGCCAGCAGCAGCCCCTTGAAGCTGTTATCTGCATCTCGTGAGTGTGTCAAGAGCTGCTGGAGTGACTGACCTATGTCATCTAGGTCTGGGGAAGAGCTCTGTCTGCATGGCAAGGAGGCCTAACAGCACAGTTCTCAGTCACTTTCCTATACATAATACATTTGAAATAATTTTCAGGTGTAAATTATTATCATCATCATCATCATCATCATCACCATCATCATCATTTCAACTTCTCAGTTTAGTGCAACACAGAAGAAACAAGCCAGAAAGTTGAAGTTTTTATCTAAATTGTTCTATTATCAATAAAAACTTGGAGTCAAGTGTCGTGGTAAAAACTTGATAGATCAAAGAAGTGGCAGAGGAGTGACCAACTGTCCTTTTTCCACACTTCCCAGATCAAAACAGCCTGCACATCTCTCTAAGTCCCTCCCTACTCCTTCCTGTGCCTCTCTATAGTATCCCGGGTCCTCCAAAATCTCTATGGTTAATTCTTGTTAACAGGTCACTGACTCTGCCTCCCATCCAAGTTTAACTTTATTAACACAGTCTTGAAGTGTTATAGTGCAAGCAAATATACCGCAACAGAAAGTATCTTGTTAATATCAAGCTATTAGTAGGTTAAATTGACTCTACTCATTTTTAATTCATAGTAACTCAAAAAGGACTACCAAAGGGTTAATTTTCACTTAGCATTGCCTTATTCACTTTATAGATTAATAACACAAAGGTATAGTGTATAAATCACATACAAGTACAGTCTAATAACCTTCAAATTGTCAACTATGCAAAGAACGCTAGTCACTTAAATTGGCAGTGCTGAAACATCTTTTTAGGTATTAATACTGTATTAGTAAAGTTAGTCTCACAACCCTCCTAAGAAGATTTTAAAACATTTAGAAAAACTGAGAGAAAATTTAAGGAACATACATATAACCACATAGATATGATTATCAGTATGTACAGCATTGGCTCTGCATCCTGTGTGTGTATATGTGCTGTGGGATGTTCTGTATGTCCTGTGGGAGCCTGTTCTTGGGTTCCTCGTGGCTTTATCCAGCAGGTCTGCATAGAGGATGATTAGGACCACCGGCCTGAGTGCAGGTGTCTGAGATGGTCTGCACTTGGCTGTCCTGTGGGATGGTCTGTATGTCAAGTTGCTCTGATTGATCAATAAATAAAACACTGATTGGCCCGTGGCTAGGCAGGAAGTATAGGCAGGACTAACAGAGAGGAGAAATAAAAGAACAGGAAGGCAGAAGGAGTCACTGCCAGCCGCCACCCTGACAAGCAGCATGAAAAGATGCCGGTAAGCCACAAGCCGAGTGGCAGGGTATAGATTTGTGGAAATGGATTAATTTAAGCTATAAGAACAGATAGTAAGAAGCCTGTCACGGCCATACAATTTGTAAGCAATATAAGTCTCTGTGTTTACTTGGTTGGGTCTGAGCAGCTGTGGGACTGGCGGGTGACAAAGATTTGTCCTGACTGTGGTCAAGGCAGGAAAACTCTAGCTACATATATGTGTATGGAAGTACAGTTGTGTGGAGGTGTACATGTGTGCATGTATTAGCAAGAGTACTTGGAAGTAAGTTTCATTCAGAGTAGATACTTCATCAGGTACGTCAGGAATTAGATATTCACCTCCATATCATTATCATCTAAGAAAAATAATTACCTACAACAACAAATCTGTATTCAGACTCACCCATTTGTCTCACTTCTGAAGCTGATGTTTTCTTTTGAACTAGAGAGTTTATCCAGTGTATTTGATTAGTCTGTCTTTTTTTCTCCCAAAATCTGTTTGTATGAATGTGTGTGTCTGTATGCATGTGTATGTCATAGCACATGTGTGGGTATTAGAGGACAACTTGAAGGAGCTGGTTCTCCTTCCACTCATGTGGGTCACAGAGATTGATCTCAGGTCATCAGCTTGGTAGCAAGTGCCCTACCTGCTGAACTTTCTTACCAGCCTTTCTCAGTACCTTTCAAAAATAGTTGATTGCTGTACAATTAATGCACAGTAGTTTGTACATGTTCAAACTACAGCGTGTAAAGTAGTTATAGGGCTCTTTGTGTTTTCTTGAGTGAGCTATGGTAGTGTGTATTTTCAAAGGGTCCATGTATTTTACTTAAGATGTCAAATGTGACATTTTTTTCTTTGACTATGCTTAGGAGTTGTTCCAGTTAGATAAGGATGGAGGTTTGAGAGCTGGTTCAGTAGTACATGCACTGAAGCTTACTTCAGGTAAACAGACACCAGCCACCATGTTGGCGACTAGAACCCAGATTCTCCCCTAAGGGGAGGTTGGGGAAACAAAAGGAATTTCTTCCTTTTCTAAGTTTGCTGAGTGGGTGGGTGCACTAAGGTCATATATGATGGTCATTACAAGGAATACAGGGAACCCCTGGCTGGGAGGCTGGACAGTTTGCAGGCAGTTAGATAAGAACCAAAGCCCTACGTAACTCAAGGCCTTGGGCTGGACAGACTGCATTTCTTGTAGCTGTGAAGATGGAGGAGGAGCTTGTTAGCAGTTCCTGCTCCCTCTGCAGCAGGCTAGAGACAGGGCTGGAGAAGAAGCTAGAATGCTACCCGGTAGAGGTCCATGGTCTGAACTTCCTTTGTGTTTTTCTCTGTGGTTCACTGAACTTCGTAGGCTTATGGGTTTACAGCTTTCATTCAGTTTGGCCCAGCTCTGGCCACTGCCTCTTTGAGATCTTTTTCTCTTACCCACTCTTGCCTCATTTGAGGACTGTAGCCATGACAGGATTAAACTATCTCATTGATGCCTCTTGCATTTTCTGTCTGTTTTAGCTCTGATTGGTCATTAAGTTCACGAGTCCTTATTTCCACTATGACCTATCAATCAGCTGTAAATGTTACCCAGGGTACTTTTCATCCTCAATTTTGTGGTTTTATTTAGAAATTGAAGATAACCTTTTAAAAATATGCATTCCATGTCTGTATAAAACATGCTGAGAATTTTTCTGGAGTTGCTTTAACACATGGAATATAGTTAAAACAGTGACTCAAATATCCTTGTCTACTAATACTGCCATTTGTATTACCTAGGTGTTAGCTTCCTTTGACTAATATTTCTTCTTCCCTGCTGATCTCATTTCCTGCTTGGTAATTTTACATTGTAAATTGTATGTTGCTTGGTGTCAGGTATTTTTGATTCTTGAGCTTTTTTGAAGGAAATCCAGGATGTGGTTATTAGAAGCATTTTCATCTTTTTGAGTATCATTGTACCAAGCTGGATCTTATCTGCCCGTTAAGAACCACGCACTCTTACTGGGGCAGAGCCGTTCTCAGGGCGGTACTAATTCTCCTCTAGTGCTGAGGCCAGGCTCTTCCACCCAATGCCCGTGACTTACAAATGCTAAGTTTCCCCACTGTGATCAATGGGAGCAGGCAGTGCACTCTGCCCTGTGTATTGTGCCCTGTAATTACGGTTCTTTCTAAGCTTCGGGGAAATTTCTTACTCACGTGACCACTTAGTACTCAGTGGACTAGGGAGGGGCCTGCTGAGTTCTCTCGGTACTGTTCCGGGTTCCCTTCCTCCGCCCATAGGTCCAGCTACCTGGTCCACAGGATCCCCCAGCTTCATACCTTCAGGTTAGGGCAGTTAAGGGGCTAGTCTTTCCTGTCTGTTTTTTTGGAAACTCATCAGGCAGTTCTCTGGGGCAGTCGTAGGGTCTCATCTTGTTTCCAATCTCTCCGTCCTTCATCGCCTATTGCCAAGTAGTTTGAAACCCGTGTTTTATTTATTCTGTTTTTAAAGCCATTTTTAGGTGGCATTCAAGTCTCTCTTCTTACATCCTGACTCCGATTAAAAGTCAGTCAGTCAGTCTGTCTGTCTGTCTGTCTGTCTCTCTCTCTGTTTTTATAGACCAGGCTGGTCTCGAATTCAGAGATCCACCTGCCTCTGCCTCCCAAGTGCTGGAATTAAAGGCGTGTGTCACCATGCCGGGCTAATAAGTCTCGTGGTTTTATTTGAAAGAATATATTTGAATTTTTTAAATTAGGCTTTACTGTCCCATTATATTCATTTTTTATTTGTCAACTGATACACATTTATTGCTGTTTTACCTAAGATATTTCTCATTCCCCTCAAGTGATTTTTCTGATCAAATAGATTCCCTGCAATTAAAAAACAATGCGTTTTTCTTTTTAAATGAAGTGAAAAGATGCAAGTGTTGAAAATAAGCACTGTGTAGTGAACTAGTGCTGTGTGTACTCCTTTGGTTTGTCCTGTTGAAAGGTGCTGCTGCTGCAGGTGATGGGCAGAGATACAGGCAAATGCTATCTTAGGTTGGTTAACACACCTCCCTTAAGCATTGCATTCCCAGTTTTTAAATACGTATTTTCCACAGGTGCTTATATCTTTTTTTTTTTTTTTTTTTTTTTTTTTTTTTTTTTTTTTTGGTGTGTTTTAGATAACCAAGCAAATGCAGGATGAGCTTCCTTCATGGACTGCAGGCTGCCACGAGAAACCGTTTTCTCTCTGGAGTGACTCTCCTGGCCAACTGGAAACAGTGGAACCCACCAGCAGGCTGTTCACACCCACGAGGGCCCCCAGTAGGAAATGGGAGCCGAGGATTTAACACAGTCCGCCAGTGTCATTCGGTGACTTTACTGCCTGGAAACTTCCATTTCTACAGGACTCTCAGTAACAAAAAATCAAGATGCTTTTCAAATGCTCAAAGCCAGGAAATGGGGGTGCTTACCTACAAACGGACTGTGTGGGGTGATTCTTTTTCAAGACAAGGGTCTAGGAAAGTGGTTGGCCATCCTCTCACAGCCCCGTGCCCTCTGAGCTGCCCGGCCGTAAGAGCTGCCCAGAGTTTCCACACGTCCCCACGGGGTCTGGCCGCCCCAGTTCCTTTCTTGCTGCTCATTCTGAAGCCAGTGCAGAAGCTCCTTGCCATCATTGTGGGCAGGTAAAAATACTTTGGGGGAGAGGGGAAACGGCATTTGTGTTAAAGTTCTTGAATTTTTATATTCACATTTTTAGCAACTTACAATAATTCTTAATAATTAACCTTAGTAGTTTATAAAACTGTAGTTTTAAAGAAACTCTCCCCTATACCATTCTCAGCTCAAAATTTGAGTTTCTAAAGGTAAGTTCTACCAGTCTTGTTGTGTGTAATTTAATAATCTTGAAATAACTTGTTTATTGTACAGAAATATGATCCTCAAGTTTTGTTGCTACAGACGTTTCTAAAAGATTTCACATTTCTAATTACAGGGGAATGGGAAATATTGGCACCAACTTGTGTAACAACAGCACTTAAGAACATTGCCTTTTGATTTTGTGGAATTTTAGGCATTAAGCATGAAATGAAGGTCTTCACTCATATAAGCAGGGGCTCAGACTTAGCCACGTTAGTAATGCTCATTTCTACCCTTGTTTTCAAGGCGTCCTTCCTATGTTTCTCTTGGTAGTCCTTTGTGATTACTTAGTTATAGCTAAGTGCTTGTTTCTCAGTCCCTTTCCCCTTATGACATGAAGGTTGAAGAAGGCAAACCATCTCTTCCTAAAGGTTTCTTACGTCTGCTGATGAGGCTGCCCCCCCCCCCAGCTGTCTATTTCCTCCTATACTCACAACCCAGTTTGCTTTTATTAAAATTTCAAGAATTCCTCTGCAATGTATTTAATTCTACATGTTTGATGCTGAAGGTCAGAAAATAGGTATCTACGTCGGTCCTAAGTAACCAGCTCATCCTTGTTTGTAGGGATGATGGCTTTGTGAGTTCTATTTCTTTAAAATTGTTTGATTTGGTATTGATTTTACTACTATAAATTTCCTGTTATAATATGTTCCACATATAAATAAGTTGTATTTATATAAATGTTGTAAATAGGAAATAAGTGGGTGGGCAGTGGTGGTGCATGCCTTCAATCCCAGCACTTGGAAGGCAAGAAGATCTCTGTGAGTTCAAGGCCAGCCTGTTCTATGAAGTGAGTTTCAAGATAGCCAGAGCTGCAACAACAACAACAAAAAAACCTGTCTCAAATGTCTCAAAAAAAAAAACCCTCAAAAAAGTGTTTTTATGATCCTCTGGTTCAGTTCCTTTTCTAAGGCATTTCATGTATGTCTGTGTGTTAGCTTTCTGACACTGAAACATCTGAGATAATAAAGGGAGCAAAGACGTATTTCAGCTCATGCTTTCAGAGGTTTCAGTCCGAGGTCGCTTAGGCCCAGGCAGCTCAGTGCATCATGGTAGGAATCCATGGCAGAGGAGACTTGTCCATTTCATGATGGCCAGGAAGGCAAAGAGAGACATGGGTAGGCATTGGGGTCTTAACATTCCCTTCAAGGACACCCCCTAGTGACCCCACATCCTTCCACTAGACCATCTCCCAAGGGTCCTGCCATCTAGTAGTGCCCCAGGCCAGAGACCAAGCCTTTGATATTGAATCCAGTGACCTTTTGGTGGAAATATGAGAGCAGGAACTTGGTAAATTATAGGAACTTTACAAAATTGCTTTGTAAAATGAATTCTTGTATGGATATATGTGTGTGTGAAATAAATTTTATTAAGACTCGACAAACGTATGTACAGGGAAATGTTTTTGTCCCACTATTGAAAACATTGCTTCTTGTCAAAATGTTTATGAACCCAGCCCAGCACTTGAGAGAACTCTCGCCAGCCAGCAGGGCCCTCCCCAGATGGCATCTGTAACGGCGGTGCATGTTTCTTTACTGTGGTGCTTCCGATCCTCCCTCCCCTCTTCATGTTCTAGCAATGATAGTGGGGTCTCTGCTTCTGAGCAGTGCCGCTTACTGCTGGAGTGGGTGCTGAGGTAGCATCTCTTGCTCCTTGCTGGACCATTGCAGATTGAGCTGGAGTCTGAGGAGCAGTGCCGAAAGGTACAGATGTATCCTTCATGACCCCAAGATGATTGTCTGGGCATGTTATCCGTGTGAAGTGGTTTAAGTGGTCAGTCTCAGGAAATGGCATTCATTCCCTTACACCGGGGTTTTCCTCCTGCTACCTCTGTGACCTTGGCTAGGTTGTTCTCCGTGACAAGGTGTTAGGAAGAGCCAATGAGGTGATTTGTGCATAACTAGAGCAGCACTTCCAGTATGGTAGACAGTAAGTGCTGGTTAGTGGTAGCTATAAAACAGCACTTCCAGTATGGTAGAGAGTAAGTGTTGGTTAGCGGGACTTGTAAAACAACTACTCACTTGAGTGTTTGCATTCACACTAGCTGAAGAGGAAGATTCAACTGAGCCTTGGGGATTTTAAGTAAGGCTTTATAGAGTTGATGACTTTGATCCTTTAGCTAAGGATTTTACAAGTTAAAAAGCTATGTGTACAGAGAAACATGAAGATTGAAGTGACTGGCCCCATAGAATGCTAGCACATGCGCGTGAGTTGTGGTGGTGTGTGAACATGCCCTTACCAACCCTGCATTTCTGATTTGTCACAGGGGCATAAGGAAATGGTGGCAGGCACTTCCTCCTAACAAGAAGGAGCTATTTAAAGACAGTGTGAAGAAGAATAAGTGGAAGCTGCTCCTTGGTCTGAGTGCCTCTGGCCTGCTGTTTGTAGTGTTTTATTTCACGCACCTGGAAGTGAGCCCTGTCACTGGAAGGAGCAAACTGCTGTTACTGGGGAAGGAGCACTTCAGACTTCTGTCAGACCTGGAATACAAAGTGGTATGTAGCAAGAATTGTCCTTAACTAGATTGCATATCGTAGCACTAAAGCAGGAGGTGTCTTTAAATATGGAAGATGCACTACTTTTAATTTTAGGTTTTGATACAACAGTAGTAATTTTTTTCCAGGTCTAATACCTGGGAGAGGGCTTTGCACCATGTGCAGTGGTCTTTCCTCTGCACCCTGCCCCCAGGAGCCCCTGCTCTGCTCAAATCTGTATTTCACTGTTTCCTGCTCAGCAAAGCCTTGCTTGATGCTCAGACTAGCTCAAACAGGGTAACTCGTTCAGGCTGAGCTGGGAACTGGACCTTTGTGATTGTGCCCCATGTATTGTTTAAATTATTAAGGCCACTCCACATAGTTAAAAGGAAAGTTTATCAGTGGCGCAACTTACAAATGAAGGGATAGGTAGGTTGCAGGGTCTGAGGAAGGTGTATCACAGTCCAGCGGTGTTCTCTGGAGCTCTGCTCGGGCAACTTCTACCGTCCAGGGTCCAGGAACAGAGAGCGCCACGCATCCTGATCTCGGGTCTTCAGGGCCCTCCCTGGCCCCACCTTGTAGGCGTGATAGTTACTGAAGCCTCAATGGGGGTTGGAACTTCCAGACCAAAGCAGGAATGGCTACCCACTACAGTGCCCCATGCTCAGCATGCTACTTTTCCTTTTCTTTGCTTTCTCTACCTGAGGGGAATTTACCATGGCCTTTGTCCATCTGCCTTACTAAGCTAAGCTCTGTGGGACCAACAGCCTTGTTGGTTTGTCTATTTTATCCTAGGAACTAACACACCATGCAAAGCAGTGCTTAGTTTTTATGTATCAAGTAAGTAAATATGTTGTGAGAATTTTTATACCTTGAAAGTCAGGTGTAAAATGAATAAAAAATTTCTTAATAAAAAATAAAGTCGCTATAATAAGATAGTTGTAATTTTTCCAAATATCAGTTTTGGCTTTTGAAATCTTATTGTATTTTCTGCCATTTTTTTTTCTTCTTAAAACAGAGTTTTGCCATGTGGCCCCTGTTGGCCATCAGCCTGTGACCCCTGTGTCTCAGCCTCCTAAGGGCTGAGGTTCGCAGGTGTGTGCTACCATAATCACTTGTTTTCTGAGTACATAATAAAGGTGTGATTCAGAAATCTCAACTCCTTGAGAAGTATAATAACTTAGGGAGTGACACATTACACACTTTGTGTCCTTGTGTGTCCTCAAGGATGGAGACTGTCATTGTATTCCAGTATTTTCCACATTCAGGGATGTGCTGAATGCCATTGGTTGAACAGGTGATGGCTTCAGGGTACTTGGGTTTTCCTATCTGTTTAATGCAAATGAATACATGAGCTTATCAAAGGAGAGTTATCATTGATAGTGTCCTAGTTAGGGTTTCTATTGCTGTGAAGAGACACCATGATCATGACACCCTTAGAAAGGAAAACATTTAATTGAGGTGGCTTACGGTTTTAGAGGTTTAGTCTATCATCATCATGGCAGGGGGCATGGAGGCTGGGAGTATGGCAGTGTAGAAGCAGACATGATGCTGGAGAATTCTACATCTTGATCCAAAGGCAACAGGAAGTGGACTGAGACACTGGGTGTGTGTGGTTTTCGTATATATGAAACCTCAAAGCCCACCCCCACAGTGACACACTTCCTCCAACAAGGTCATACCTCTAATTGTGCCACTCCCTTTGGGGACCATTTTCTTTTAAACCATCACAGATAGCAATGACTTTTTACTATAAAAAATTATTCTTATGTAAGATAATAACAATATCTTAGAAGAATACATACAGAAATTTAAAATATCTCCTAGAATCTAGTCTTAATAGGAAGATAGATTGAGAAAAACATTTTAGAAAGATTGGAAGAAACCTTGTATGAAATTGGTATATCTTACACTATTCAGATAGCTTAAAAAATTAAAATACATGAATATATGAATGGATTTGCATATATTATATGCAGTATGTATACATATGGATCTGTATATATGTATGTGTGTTTATATGATTAGACATTTTTATTGCTTAATCTATTGGTCTGTGACTCCAAACATTCCTACAGAAATTTCATAAAGTACTCTAATTACATAGTGTGCAAACTAGTGCGTTGTCCACTTGACACAAGCTAGAATCATCCAATAGACAAGGAGCCCCTACTGAGAAAATGCCTGCATAAGAGTGGCCCATAAGCAAGCCCGTGGTTCATTGTCTTGATGAATGATTGATGTGGGACAGCCCAGCTCAGTGTAAGCAGTGCCATCCTTGGGTAGGTGGTCCTGGGGTGTGTAAGAAAACAAACTAAGCAGGCACTGAGGGGAACACCAGGAAACAACATTCTTCCAGGGCTTCTGTTCTCCTTCCTGCCACCATGTACTTGTCTTGAGTTCCTGCCTTGACTATCTTCGATGATGGACTGTGGCCACAGAGTGTAAGATGAAATAAACCCTTTCCTCTCCAAGTGGCTTTTGGTCAGGGTGTTTATCACAGCAATAGGCAGCAAACTAAGATACAGAGACTCTGTGTTCTTGGAGAGGGATTAATCGAGTGTGGTGATACATTGTGTATCCTAATAAAATTTACTGAAAGATCAGAGAGACAAAGGAACAAGCCATTGCCACGCCTCAATTCACTGACTCCATGAGTCCTCTGACTAAAATCCTCTGAGTCCTGACTCTCTCTGCCTCCAAGTGCCAGGATTAAAGGTGTATGCCACCACTGCCTGGCCTCTATGTTTAGTCTAGTGGCTGTTCTGCTCTCTGATCTTCAGGCAAGCTTTATTTGATACACAATATATCACCACGATAGAGGACTTTTTCATTTGTTTACATTGGTTAATTCTTTAAAATGGCAGTTGATAGTCTTTTAAGTTTATAATGCATCTTGAAAATGGTTATCAACTTGATTTATATGTTAAACTATATATTTTATGGAATTAAATATTTGTAGAATATCCTTAATTTTCTCAGTGTGTATGACAGAATCTCTCAGAAAAAGGCTTCAGAAAAAATGTCTTCATATATGAAATGGCTAGGCTTTTTAGTCAGCATCACATAGAGAAAATGATGTGTCCATTAGTTCTGAGATCTTAGTGATTTTCTTTCAGTCTGTGTGGATCAAACCCTTTACAATTAGTGAGATAATGTCTCTTTTTGTAAAACCCTAAGTCTATATTATGAATGGGGTGTTCTTCCATTTAGTGGATTATGAAAGTAATTAGTTTTCTTTGACATTTCCTCCCTCCCTCCCTCCCTCCCTCCCTCCTTCCTTCATTCTTCTTTTCCTGAAAGTGGGTTTCTTGTATCCCAGGCTGGCTTTGAACTTACTGTGCAGTAGATGATGACCTTCTAATCGTCCTGGTTCTACCTCTCCAGTGTTCAAATTACAAGGATGTGTATGTAACCTTACTGGGTTTATGTTTTGCTGAGGATCGAACTTGGGCTTTGCATATGCTATGAGCGTGACCACTCTACCAACTGAGCTATATCCCCAGCCCTGAAGTTTTCTTTTTATATGAAGTTTCTAATGTGAATCCTTTGTTATCTAGGCAGTTTTGTTTTCTGAAACTCTTAGGAAGGTAGAAATATTTAAGCATTTTACTTGTATATAGATTAATAGAAAAGAAGAATAAAATTTGGATTGAATCATGTTTATATGAAAAAAATCTAATATTTTAATCCTTTGTGAGAAACTATACTGCTTTTACATGAATAATTCAAATTTTAGAAATGTGTTTGATATATAAATTTTTTTCACAGTTCAAATTTAAAATGCCCAACACTAGTCAAATGATGCACTTTCCATGAAGCAGCATAAGCATTTGCAGTGCAAAAGCTCTTAAATAATACTGTTTTAAAAATCTTGTAGTGGATGGAAGAATTTAAAAACGATATGCTGCCTGAGAGAGACCCCCGACACCTGACTGTTAAAGAGGTGGTACATCATCTAACACAATGCAATCAAGATGTCCCAGGGATCCCCGAGATCAACTGGGTGATTCATGTGGTTGATTCCCCAGATGTAAATGCTTTTGTTCTTCCAGTAAGTAAATATTTTAAAATGCATTTTTGTTGCTAGCTTTAATGTCTTTAAGTTTTACTGTGGGCTAATTGCTTCTGTTATTCTTTTGATGTGCAGAATGGACAAGTGTTTGTTTTCACTGGGCTTTTGAATAGTGTAACTGACACTCACCAGCTCTCCTTCCTTCTGGGCCATGAGATTGCACATGCTGTCCTGGGGCACGCCGTGAGTATCCAAATGGCACGCAGCTGGTGAATGCTGCCTTGATAGTACCAAGTTGTATCCTTAAGGAACCCAATCTGTTCAGGATTGTTTTTTCTTCTTTAATGATGGAATGTAATTGCCGTATTCTGTACCTGAAAAAAAGTGATTAGCTAATTTTGAGACTTTTGCAGTCTTTAGTATATGATACTGAATAATTAGTGTTTCTCTTAAATACTGTTTTTATCACCTGTCTCTTTTGCTAAAAAGTAATTAGTCTCAACCTCTAATTATTTCACATTAAAATTTAAACTTCCATAATTATTAATGTACTTGTAGTCTAGTCAGAAAATTAATTGTTGCAAAGTGATACTATTATTTAAGTGGTAGATCAATTTTTTTTATTCTTAATCATCTTCAAAAGATGTCTTGGAATATTGTTGGAAAATGTCTAAATGATATGCAATATGATATGAATGTGGAGCAGTAATGATACTTTGCCAGGATAGTTTACTGAGTTTCATCTAATATGTTCCTTCTCATTCAGAGCTTTAATAACTTATGAGTATCTATCATCCCTGATTTATATATTAGGAAACTAACATTTAAAAAGACTAACAGTGGCTACATAGGTCTTTAATAACTCATGAAACATATTTTTGTACTCATTTTTTATTGCTATTCATTAAAAATGTGAATGGATCATCTGTGCATATTGAGATAAGTATATTTTTATTTTTAATCAGAACATGCCGGTATTTTTGTGAAATATTTGTGAAAGGATTTGCAATATGCTAAATAAGTGCAAATATTATTAACTTCAAATGGAAACTATAACGTTTATTAATCTTTCTCAAAGTCATTTAAAAGTTCTGTGTATTCTTTAGAAGAATAATAAGATGAGCTGGGCCAAAGTTCTTTTTTTGAAGCATCCCTGATTTCTCTTGAGCTAAGGAAAATTTTTAAAAATATATTTTCCCTAAATATATATAAGAACAAATCTAAGCAACAGAGATAGTATCGTTATAGTGTATTCTAACATCTCTCAAATAATGGTGTCATAATTCATCAGTGATGCATTAGTGAATGAGACACAAACTTTCTCTTGGACTAGTTTGGCAAAGTGTAAGCCCAAATTTGATTTCTCCACTTCTCTCCCTGTGTCTTCCATCTGCCTCTTGCATGTATGTGTGTGATCTATCTGTCCCTGTTGTCTGTATCTGTGTGTGTGTTTGAATTTGTGCCTGTGTCTCTGTTATGCCTGTCTGTAAAAAAGGACTTTGCTCCATGTTTATTGAACAACACAGAAGACATGGTAATCTTTAAGCAGAAATCTTTAATGGTTTTACAAGAGAAGAGGTGACTTTACTGACCTCATCTGACCTATAATAGCACCAGTATTGCAAGCAGGTGCTGCCAACTTGTATCTGCATGTTACTTCCAACAGTTATTGGAGATCTGTTGTTTAAGGCTGCTTTTGACCTGTTGGCTGCTAGCAGCAAATGATTGCCACAACACACACACACACACACACACACACACACACACACACACACACACACACTATTCTGGGTCAGGGCATGGAAAAGTAACATGATTTAAGATTAAAGCTGTGCGTTAGTGTTCATTGTAAAAGCTGATTGCATTAGAAATCCAAGGCAGAGTAAGTTTGGTCGCATTGTTTTCTTAAAGACAGGTTAAACTTAAACCTGTACTGAGTACACAGTAGGACAGAAAGTTAATGATCTCACAGCGTATTCTATTATGAAATTGGCTGTGAGGTCTGGAAAAAGTTCATTCCCTTTGTGGTCAAGAGATATTTTCAGAAAAATATATTGCCACGTCATAACTGCAAAAAAAACGAATCAGCTGTGGCTGTTGTAGCTTTAAAAGGTGGTACCATTCAGCTGATTTGATTTCTGGCATCCAGTCACTGCCTGTCAGGGTAGGGTCACCACCCCGACCAGTGCAGGGTGGTGGTCAGATGAACAGAAGAGGCAGGGAACAGCCATGATGGAAAACAGTTACTGTTTCTTTGACAAAGATCTCTTTTATTAACACACTGTTTTCTCTTTTGGAAGTCTTAGCTTTGATTGAACATGACTTTTATGCTGTTTCTTTTTTTTTTCCTATAAATACACAGTTTTAAAAATATTTCTATTTTTTTAAGACTAATAACAGTTATACTCTATTTAAAAAAAATAGATTTATATATTATGTATAGTGTTCTGCCTGCATGTATGCCTGCAGGCCAGAAGAGGGCACCAGATCTCATTACAGATGGTTATGAGCCACCATGTGGTTGCTCGGAATTGAACTCAGAACCTCTGGAAGAGCAGCCAGTGCTCTTAACCGCTGAGCTCTCTTTCCAGCCTCAGTTATATTCTTTAATAATCCATAACAAGTTTATTCTCTTCATAAACACTATCATTTTGACTTCAGTCTTTCATAGTAAAGTAATTCAATAATTGTTTTACAGCTAACGACTGTTAGGTGATAGTTGTTTTGTGAGGAGAGATTATCTTGTTAAGGTCAGACATAGTCTGATTTTAGTTTTCAGCCGTGTTGTGTCCATTCAGGTAGTGACTGGTACCAAGTCTGCATCAGCATTTTTATGCTAACGTGCACTAGTGAGTGGTGAGTAAGCCCGTGCATTTAACTTTTACTAGGGATTCCTGGGCAGAACACACATTTTATACAAACCTTTCCTGGCTACTGCTGTGAGTATGTCCAAAACCCAGAAACCAACTCTCAGTGAGAAATACCAAATTTTCAAAACCAAGAACTTGTATAAATGTGTTATGCTTTCATGCATTAGGTCATAAACACCAAAATACCTTTATTTTAATTAAACTTGTAATCTTTTTCTGAATTTTTTTGTCTTAAGTGCATTATCTATTATATATACTTAGACTTGATGTAACAATATAAGTGTGATAAATACTTTTATTTGATGTGTAGAATATAGTGTCTACGTTAGAAACCAAAATAGCCTTGGCTTGGATTTTTTTGGTCCTTTTACTAATAGCTGTGTGAATTGGGGCAGTCATAAAATCTCCATTTGCATTTCATTATCTATAAAATGGGGCTTATTGTACCAGAGGAATCATTGTGCTGGTTAATATAAGAAACTAGTTTATTAATTCTCACTGTCTATGACGATGAATAATTATCTCAGCAAACGTAGTAAAATGTTAAAGGCATAAATGATTCACCCGTGTGTGAGTAAAGAGAAGGGGACCTCCCAGCAGACAGCGTGGACACGAGGGGAGAAATCTGGGTCTTTGGCAGGTGAGGTGGTTCAGTAAGTAAGAACTCTGGCCCAAGCCTGCCTGCCTGAAGTAGCTCCCAGGTCCCACATGTAGAAGTGGGGAACTGACTCCCACAAGTTGTCCTCTGATCTTGTACTCTGGCATGCCCATGTCCCACATATATACATACAAATAAAAAATAAACATAATAAAATAGTTTTAAAAAATTGGGTCTTTGTTCATGTCGGCCAGTTGAACCCACATAATTATTTAGTATGATTAAGTGGTGGCTAGAAAGTGTAAATATGTACTGTCTCCATTTACTAAATGTGGCTTTTATCATTTTATTATTCTCACTCAGGCAGAAAAGGCTAGCTTGGTTCACCTACTGGATTTCCTTGGTATGATTTTTCTCACAATGATTTGGGCCGTGTGTCCACGAGACAGCTTGGCACTTCTGGGACAGTGGATACAATCGAAGTTGCAGGAGGTGAGTCTGAGATGGCCCATGGTGGACATGCATCAGTATCGGTGTAAAGCAGTGTGGATCCGAACTATGCTAAGGTCTGTCCTGGAGTCAGATGTGGAATTTCAGTGTCTGTTTGTCATTTTTAGGTGCTGTTCCCATATAGTGTTTAATTAAGGAAGTCTACATTTGTTTAGTGATATACAAGGGTCGATTAAAAGAGCTACTGTGTTGTTGTTGTTGTTTTTTTCTTTTATTTTTCATAGTTGTTGATTTCACAGAGAGAAAACCTAATCACTAGTCCTTCTCTTATCTCTGTGACAGTGGTGTCCTTCCTCCAGGAATCTCTTCCAAGAAGGCTGCAGTTTTAATGAGTGTGGGGCTGGCTGTAGCTTCATATCATTCTCCATTGCTGTTAATGCACAGTTAAACCAACGTTGCCTAGAATACATGGGGGGGCAGTTTTAGGTGCTTTAGTGCCGATAATAATAATCATCTCATGACTAAGTCCCTCATATTGTTCAAAATACTGCCTTCCTGAGGATCAGTCTTGTGATCCCCACAGCTGTGTTAACCAGATCGAGACAATGATTCTCAAATTGAAGAAGAAAGAATGGTTAGATTCAGATGGTAGGATGTCACATTGGAACTTAGTTATCACTGACCTGCTGGGCTGTCAACGGAGTTGATGTAGTTTCCCCTTGTCTATAAGTAGATGCTTTTTAAATTAATAGAATCAGAAGAGGTGATGATAACTAAGGCAATGTAGCTGTTTTTCCCTGGAAATAATTTTATGCCTCTTAGGCATAATTTTTCCAATTTAATAACTAAACTGAAGAACAGGGATGCCTTTGGTGTGGATTTTTTTTTTCTCCTAAATTGAGGCCCCTCAGTGACTCTTTTGTCAGGAGACATTTTTCTCTCTGCAGTACCCTGCTCACCATATTTTGGGAGCATTAAGGAATGATGGCAGTGATGCCCTATAGGGTGGGAATTGTCCACATTCCTTGCCATTCACTTAGTTACTGTGGTGACTGAATGATACAGCAGGGCTGTATTAATGCAGAACTCCTGATGTTTTGGCCTGGATTATTATTATTGCTGTTGGGGCTTGTCCTGGTATTGTGGGTTTTCTAGCATATACGGTAACTACTCAGTAGATGCCCGTGGTTCTTGCTCTCCACAGTGTCTTGATGGCTCAGATGGTTAAGAGCCTTTGTTACTCTTGTAGAGGACCTGGGTTCAGTTTGGCTCCCAGAACCCATATGGTGGCTCACACACGTCTGTAATCAGGAGATTAGATACCCTCTTGGCCTCCATGTGCACCAGGCATATGCATGGTGTACATATACGCAGGCAAAAATACGTATACACATAAAATTAATATAAAATAATAATTTAAAAATGCCCCTCGAAGCTGGTATGGTGGCATGCACCTATAGTCCCAGCTACTTGAGGAGCTAAGGCAGGAGGATTGCGTTAGTTCATGTATTTGAGACTGTGGGAGTCCACAGAGGTTTCCTAGTGAGAGCTGAGCTTGCTTTACACAGCAGGGTTGCATTAGGGGATGTCTTGACCACATGCATGTTACCAGGTGTTTGGAAGGGTCTGCACTTGTCTATGCTGCAGGAAGGCCTTTTGCTCCACCCCTTGGCGTTCCTTTAAAAGTCCTTTAGCAGAGACAGAAGGGGCAGGTAGATTTGACTCAGGCCCTCCCTAGGCTATCCTGTGTTTTCATCTGTCTCTCTCGGTCTATATTTCTATCTGAATATTTCCCACTTCTCCCTGCTCAAGAGTACTCTGGGGAAAAAAGTGGGGGTGGGTCCCCCACATGGGACTCCTTAGGTAACAACACCATGACCTTGTAACTCCAAATGTTTACAAATGTCCTCAAGAGCTGACAGATGAACAAACAAGTCACACCAGCTTGAGAACCACTGCTTTAAAGCCTTTTGCCTGGTACCTGGCACAAAGTAAGAGCTCCGTTCATAGGGAGGATTAATTTTACTGTCGGCCGGTGTAATCCTCTGTGCAAATTGAGGAGTTTGTTATTGTTACTAGCTCCATTTTGCACATTGCCCCATGAATTCCTCTGTTGAAGCCAATGCTTTGCTGGGTTAGCACACTGCCTGGTGCACACTCAGCCTGTGCACTGAGAGCTGACCCCTGTCTTCAGCTTAAAACAGACATAAGTGAGGGGGAAGGAAGCCATGTTCTGTGTTTACATACTGTGAATGGTGGCTTAGGTTGCTTGTATCCATCACAAGTGTGTGTTTGAAAAGTTGCTGTATTTGAAAAGTTGCTTTCTGGATTAATAGCTCCTTTATCAAAAGTCCTGCTTCTTGATCCAGCTCCTACAAAGTTTTAGTGCTTACTGCAAATTAGAATTTAATTGGAAAACATTCTCATAAATAAAAGTAATTGGGAAGATTAAAGTTATGATAGCTGTTCATGTTTTTAGAAAAAATTTAAGTTAGAAGAAAATTTTATTTTCCTAACTAATCAATATTTAGAAAAGGAAATGAAGATAATTTATCACAGACAGGGCTCTCCTCTGTGGCTAATTTTCCCACTGACGTTTTCTGCTAGTGTTATTGGCTCTCATATACCTGCATTATTTCGATTTCCCTTTAGAACTGTGAGATTAGTGTTCCTTGGCCACAGCTAGGTCTGTACCAGGATGGTTCTTAGGCAGCACTCTCTTCAGCAGTGGAGATTATACATGGAAAATGAAATAAGCTAATGGCAGCACAGGCTGTGCGGGAAGGCACGTACCTAACTTTTCTCCTTTTCATGTTTAAAGTGGGAGTTGAATGGAAGAAACAATGGCAACATTTACATTTTACATCTTAGAGGACAGACATTTCATACTAGATTTTCTGTGAAATTAATTTAACATTCATCTTTTGAATTCCTTTGATCATGAAATAAATCCACTTAATGGAGTTTTTTCTGTCCCGCTTCTTCTTAGTATATGTTTGATAGACCGTACAGTAGAACACTGGAGGCCGAAGCTGACAAAATTGGACTACAGCTTGCTGCAAAGGTAAAGTGATCAACAGCTGAAAATACATTGTCCCTCATTGTAGCTGAAGTTTTCCTGTGTCCTATCTGGCCCATGGTCAGGACAAATCTCCCTCACCCACCAGTCCTGCAGCCACTCAGACCCAAGTAAACACACAGAGGCTTATATTAATTAAAACTGTTTGGCCATTAGCTCAGGCCTACCACTGACTCGCTCTTACACTTAAACTAACCCATAATTCTTATTTATGTTTAGCCACATGGCTTGGTACCCTTTCTCAGTTCTGCTTTCACATCTTGCTTCCTCTGTATATGGCTGGCAACTCCTGACTCAGCCTTCCTCTTCCTGGAATTCTCCTTGTCTGTTTATCCCACCTATACTTCCTGCCCGGCTACTGGCCAATCAGCATTTTATTTATCAACCAATCAGAGCAACACATTCACAGCATGCAGAGCACCATCACCCATCATCTCATATAGCTGACAATACATGTGTGTTGTCTTGATGTTTGGCACATGCACGGGCCAAACATTTAGTCATGTACTGTTAACCCTTTGTACTGCTCATCTTTATATTACTATAACAAAGTGCTGAGACAGCTCAGTTATAATAAAAGTTTGTTCAGCCCACACTTACGGAGATTCAGGGGCATGCTGAATGCCTGCATTGGCCCAGTTCTGCTGAGAATAGAAGATGGTGGCACATCATGGCAGGATCATGTGTAGAAGCAAATCAGTTGAGTCTAGAACCAGAGAAGAGAAAAAGAGATGATGATCAAGGTGGTACAGTCCCTCTTCAAGGGCACATCCTCAATAACACAAGCCATCTCTTCCTTGGCCCCCCTTTAAAGCGTCTGTCACCTGTAGCTAGAGTTTTCCTGCCTTGCCCACAGTCAGGACAAATCTTTGTCACCCGCCAGTCCCACAGCCACTCAGACCCAACCAAGTAAACACAGAGACTTATATTGCTTACAAACTGTATGGCTGTGGCAGGCTTCTTGCTAACTGTTCTTATATCTTAAATTAACCCATTTCTATAAATCTATACCTTGCCACATGGCTGGTGGCTTACCAGCGTCTTTACATGCTGCTTGTCCTGGCGGTGGCTGCAGTGTCTCTCCCTCCTTTTTCCTGTTTCCCCAATTCTCCTCTCTCTTTGTCCCGCTTATACTTCCTGCCTGGTCACTGGCCATCAGTGTTTTATTTATATAGAGTGATATCCACAGCAGTCCCCTCCTTGTAGCACCACACTGGGGCTATACCTTTAGTCACAATGGACCCTTGGGGATTACCTAGACTTCACCCACGCCATAGTACTTTTCATAAATCTATAATGCTTGAAGATTATATCTCTTAAAGGAATGAATGAGTAACTGAAAATCTTCTATTCTCCATATGTGACTGTAATTGGCAGGATGTATTCAAAGTTTTAATCTTTATTAGAAAGCATTTTTCGCATGCATGAAATTTTTAGTTATAAACATGAAGTATGCAAATTAAAACTTTAAAAACATATGGATGTGTAATGCCTTGGGCCCTTATTCCTCTGTGTGCTTTCTGGAAGGCCAGTGCTGCCTCTGTTCCACACCCCTGGTTTCTCTGATCTATGGGTGGGGGAGCGGTTTGAGAAAAGAAGACCATGTGTACTGTTTTCCCTCACCTGGAGAAGGTTACTCCTATTGCTGTCATGGTCCAGGCTGAGCATCTACTGCTGAAATGTGTCGTGGAGAACAAGTGTAGCAGTTGGCTCTCTGTGAGCTCCAGGTTCGGTTCCTGGGCCTCACAGGTCTTGTGCTATTTCTCTGTTGCATAGGAGCCTTCACCCCTAAATACGGTTTTAATCACCTGTGATAGCTGAGTTATCATTGTTAGCAGAACGTTTTTAAATGAGTATAAACTACAAAGTTTATGTATTTAATTACAATGTTATTTGGCTCTTTGTTGAGTTTCCAGTAGTTATTATTAAACGTCACTATTATTTAAACTTCTCATTGTGAATCTTGATGGATTTGGCTCTGTAAATGACACTACATATTTACAAAAGTAAAAACGTTTCTTGGCATGTTAAGTAAGAAGGATCAAGTGAATTATCAGGCTCTGTGCATTAAGAGGTTATTGAGTAAGGTACAAAGAGTCAGTGGGTATGGGCACCTAATCTGAATGTACTGGTCTGCCAAGTTTACCTTTATGTGTGTTTTGTGCTCTGGTTAAGAAACTTTAATTTGCCTTAGTAAACTGATTCTGTTTTAGTTCTAAGAAGCTTCATTATATTAGCTCTTTTATGTCATAAGAAGAAATGATCAAGGTAATTCTGTTTTTTCCATGGACAGCTAATATACGCAGCCACAATTATTGAAAGGTAGATCTGGGGCCATAGTGGTACAATACCATAATTAATCCTAGTACTTTAGAGGTGGAGGCAGGAGGAGCAAAAGTTCATGGCTGCCTGCAAAGATCAAACAGACAAAAATTGTTATTTCTGTCATGACAGTTAATTGTGACTAGTCCTTCATCCATAGCACACAATGCCTATCGCTTTGTAACAGGGCTGGGACTGTTACAAAGGGCCCCGTCCTTTAGTGTGGTTCTGCAATGTGAACCTGAAGTTCTTGAATCTTTGCATACCTGTACACATTTTATAATAATCTTATTAAATTATATGTCCATAAAACTTGCCTGGGCAGTTGACGGGATAGTTGGCCAGTGTCTAACCCACTGAATTTTCCCATCTATGAACAATGTATTTGACATTTACTTAGTTATTCTTTAATTATTCTTAATAATTTAAGCTTTGAACTTGGTTTTGTATATAGGGATGATACATATTTTGTCTGATTTATTAAGTGTTTGATATTAAGATATAGTCATTTAAAAAAACAAATTTCTTGCCTATAGAAATATACTTGACTTACGTAACTGACCTTGTCTCTAGCAGTCAACCCACCTACATGTCTGCCTTCCTCTCTCCCCTTCCTCCCTTCCTTCCCAATTAGTGTTTCCCCATCTCATTATTAGTGTGATGTCTAGAAATGTCAGCACAAGCTGATGGTGGGCAACTTTGTTTTCCTGGACCTTAGAAGAAGGTAATGTCTAGTTTTTCACATCAGTTCTCATGGTTCTTGTAAGGTTTCTTAGAGGCTATATTAGCTATGTTTCTGTTGCTGTTATAAAACCCCATGACCAAGGTAGAATGAAGTGTTTATTTAACTTATGGTTCTGGAGGTATCCCTGTGTGGCAGGAAAGGATGGCCGTGAGCAGCGGGTGTGGCGGCAGGCACAGGAAGCCAAGAGCTCAGATCTCAAAGAGAGAGCAGGAAGTGGAGAGAACCAACTGGAGGCGCCTCCAGACTTTTAATCTTAAAGCCCCAGCGACACATGCTTTCCATCAAGGCTGTACCACCCAAACCTCCTTATAAGTGTGCAAAAGCCTGAGCTGTGAGGGCATTCCTCGTTCAGACCACCACAGGGGCTGGCCATCAGGTGGAAGCATCTGCCTTTAGTTCCTCATGGTTTGGCAAATGTGTTTAATTATGAAAGAATATTGTAACTTATCATTTACATTTGTTGAATTTGTTGAGATGGTTATGTTTTTTCTCCTTCAATCTGTTAATGTGGATTGGCTACATTTTTTTTTTTTAAGTTAAGCTAACCTTTTGTTTTTGGAAATAGGCTCAATTTTGTCAGTTTTAGTATCCTTTAATAAATGGCTAGAATTGGTTTGCTGCTGTTTTGGTTAGATATTTTGTCTGTGTCCATAGGAAACAGTGGCCTGACATTTAGATTTTCAGGAGTGGTGTCTCTTGAATGCTGCCTCTCTCTTCACATTGATGAAGATGGCAGATTTCAAGATGAATCTTTAGAGGGTGGGGACTGTCTGTATGCAAGGCTGTGCGTTTTCCTCAGAGAGCATCTTTACCTGCCAGGTGTTGACAGGCTATTTATTTTTTGTTTAGTTTAAAAACACATTCTTCTTTTCTTTGTGATTTCTTCTTAGCTCATGGATTATTTGGGGCGGGGGGGTTGGACATCTTGTGGTTTTTGGTTACCGTGTGTTGTTGACTTCTAGCTCACATTCTGAATGGAGAGAGCACTATCAGTGAGAAGCATCTTTGATGCCATCTTATTTTCTCTCTCAGTGTGTGATCAAGTCTGCACTGTGGGGTGTTCTTGAAGAGCTTCTGCCCTTGGAGACAGTGTTCTGTGGATGACTGTTTTGTCAAGTTTGTTAATTTCGTTGTTTCATTTTTTAATTGAAGATATTATTATTATTCAGAAATTTCATTATTTATCATTATTCATGTTTTTCTTCCCCCCTTTCTAGTTATTTACAGAGCTTTCTAGTCTTTCATTATGGTTATAGAGTTTATCTCTTTTTGGTTCTGTCATTTATTTCTTTGCATAGCTTATAACTTGCATGGCTTATAACTAGCTATCTTCCTGGTGGCTTGATGCTTTTTTTATTTGTGAATATAAGAATATTACTTGGGGCTGGACAGGTGCTCAGTGATTAATAAGGCTTGCTGTTCTTGTGGGGAACTGAGTCCTGCCAATTCCTAGCACCCAGGTGCCTCACAGCTGCCTGTGACTTCAGCTTTAGGGAATCAGGTACCCTTTTCTGGCATCTGTGGGCACTTGCACTCATGTGCACACACTCCCACACAGACAGACAGACAGACAGACACACATACACAGAAACACACACACACACACACACACACACACACACACACACACACACGAATGCACCATTAAAAACAATGTTTTAAAGCTTATTTTTAAAGAAAAATATCTTTTGTTTTGGGTGATGCTTCTTGCCCAATGTCTGCCTTTCCCTTTATTTTTGTTTTCCTCTCCTCCCTCCTCCTCCCATATTTCTTTCAGGTTGTGTGAGAGCGTCGTGTCTTTTGCATTCTCTTGTTGTCAATCTTTGTGTCTTTTTATGTCTCTCTTAGAAGTAGTACACACTTTTCCCCTTTAATCTTTGCTTTTGAGGGAGTGTGCACTCTGGTTTGTGTTTCTTCT